AGAGAGAATGGTGCAGCAATGAAGGAATGAAAACCCCAAATCCCTGTAAATGTTCATTAAAACTATTAAAATTTAATAATAAAAAAAGAGGGACTGGAATCTATCAGCTGCTCAGTGGGTGAAGGATGGACAATCTCCTCTCCGCCTGTGTGATTTACAGCCTCTAAAAACCTGACCTCCCAGCCAGGAAATGGTTCCTACTCAACAGCATGCAACAAGCTTCTGAAAGAATTTCATATAGATTTCCATTTGGTTTTGATAATCCAATAGCAAAGAAGTTTCATCTACACAGAAACACTACACAGTAAGATATAGCCTATTACAACAACACCAGCTTTCCTCTAAGTTCAAGAACTGCTAAAATGGCAATGCAGTAAGTAAAACATTGAAAACCTTTTTTAGATTTGAGAGGGGGCCATATTCAGCAGGTTGCCCGATAAAGTCTAGCTCTTGTTCTAAAAACACCCAAACTAATCAGCCTGCCAATGCTTGTAGGTGACGCTGAATAACTATTTTTGCTGTTTTCATCTTAAAAGATCTCTGTCCAGCAGACTAAAATGTTTGTTTTATAATTGCCCACTGAACTATGACAGTATGTTTCCAGATGGTGCCCTTCCTTCAACCTGCACACAATCTCTCCTTGTTCGTAGCTATTCAACCTCCTGCTGATCCCACTACTCCCACCCCTATTTAAGGCTACAGAGAGGAAATCCTAAGGAGGAGATTTCTCCCGCCTCCCTAGTCTCTAGCAATTTTTTTGGTGACGTAATATGTGGGCTGAACTCAGTCTACTGCGAAGGAGAGGGAATCACACTATTCAAGGGTACTGTATACACAGTCTGGGTCAGCTGCAGCTGGTTACTGCGTTTCTCCATGTGGCAGGCAGAGCAAAGCCACAGCGCGTTCTCTGCTGGAGTCAAGACAGCCCACAGACCAGAACTTCCACCCCACTATTTAAAATTACATAGGTGGCTTGTCAGATTCAATTGATTAGTACTCTCAGAAGAAAAAGAAGTTCCTTATTACGGCTTGGATTCAACGGTCCAAAACAAAAATGCAGTTGCCATCAGAGGCACAGATGAACGATCCACAACACTGACTTTTAAAAATCAGGAAAAAGGGCAGCAAGTTTCTGGATTTACTTTTACCAACCAACATAAAAAGGTATTTCAAGGTTTCTTGTATTTTTATTTAAAATACTATGAATGTTGACATACATTGATTATTTTACATGTGTAGCTGAAATTGTCAAAGGTCTTACAAGACAAAGAATTCTGGGGCATTCTATAAAGTTTTAACTGTACAGTTCATCTGTTTTCACTAAGTACTTTATGAAGTTAAGGCTTCTATTATTTGTGGTCCTGACTTAGTGATATTTGTTGTATAATTATAGATTAATGCATATATGCTGGGTTTCAAAAGACAAGTGCTTTAAAAACACTAGAAAGAAATGTTAACAAGTAACAAATTCCATGTATTTGGTTTATATAGCATGCTTATTGAAAAGAAAAAGATAGAAATAAAATAGAACTGTAAGTATACTATCACACATTACTACTGTATACTACACATTCCTACAATATATTGCTTAAGACTCATATATACCGCTGGATTTCTCACAGTATAAAAATAACTGGACAGCTTTGCAGAAAATCTTACACAAGATTTAAAACACAAGTACGGTCTTCCTTGCTATGACTCAAAATTATCTAAGTTTCATACCTAACAGTAATTTAATTAAAGAAACAGAAATGAAAATTGCTACAAAGCTAGAATTATTTATAAAAGCCAACATTCAAAACCCCAAGCCTTTCTTCTATATTAGTACTGAGTAGAATATAAAATGACAAAGTATAATGTAAATATTTAACATTAACAATAGGAAAGATTAAGAATCAAGAAAACTTAGGAACGAAATTAAAAGACAAAAATGTGTATTCTCTTTTAGATAGAAACATTTTTTATAGTCATTCTCAATAGTCTATCTGAAGGCTTTGTCTAATATTATTACAAGAATTACTAAAAATAAGACTGCTAGTTGCCAATAGTAAGTTTTAACGCCAAAGGCACTTTCTGTTGGTTTTGAAATCTCCTGGTCTTTTAAAAATTAAAGATACTAATGGGAAGAATTTAACAAGCAAATAGTGGTCAAGCTGAGTTTTGGTTTTGGGAATTTTTTTTTAGCTTTTGTTTTCTTCAAAGATTCAAAACTTCCTTGTGTGGCTAAAATACTGGGAAGATCTTTGTTAACCACATTTTACAAGAAATTCTGGTAACATTTCCAAGCAACACTAGACCTAAAAAACTTGTCATCTCTCTTTTGTCATTACTTGCTATGAAAAGTAGAGAACCTCACTAAAACCTCATTTTTTACTGACTCTCTAGGCAATCATTTAAAACCCAAATAACACATATAACTACCTCTCTCTTTTAAAATTCTCTTCAGGGGATTAGGGTGTTCTCAAGTGTCCTTCCAGAACATATTTCACAATCTACAAGTTCTTTATCTAAGGTTTCTCTCCTCAATCAATGCCTCAAACATGTAAATTCATTGCTTCATGCCGTTTTCAGAGCATGACACAGCCAGTAAATGCCTCTCTATGAGTTCACCATCTGAAAGGAAGTAAATCCGGACTTTTATTTCTTCTACTAGCTGGCAAGAGAGCAGCTCTGAAGAAAAACAGTACCAATAAAATTAACCCAGTGCATGGAAAACATTGCTCCCCTCCCTAAAAACAACCAACCAGAGATGTAGATTTACACTTAGCATATTATAACTAATTTAGAACATTCTCTTGGGGCCTAGGAAAGTTTTAACCTATACAGAAAGGTTTTATGAGGTAACACAGATTTATGGATCTTTCCCTTTTAAAAACGGAAAATATGTGGGAAAATATTAAATAAGAGAATGTTTTGAGAAAATGCAACAGTAAATGTAGTTTTTAAAGCAACTCTTTTCTCAATATCTGAATTTAAGAGGGCCATTGCATTTTGATGAAAACTAAGTGACGTAACTGTTGGTCTCCTAGTTAAAAATGTGGCTCTTTGCACTGGTTAAGGAACAACGAAGCCTTTGCTTTTACAAGGATAAAGGAGTTACACTTAATAAAAAAAATAATGAAACTTTCTGTTTCTTCCTCTACATAGTAACCTAGAATTGATTTTCCTAAGACAGGTAATCAATGCTTTATCTTAGTCTTATAGTAGCTACTGGGAACTATAATAAGAGGGGCAGAACACAAAACAAAGCTATTGTTATCTTCATTTAGATCACAATTTCACAAACTAGTTTCTTCACAGCAACAATGATGTGAAATTACATCAAAAAACTTCTGTGGGTATGATCTTAGGTGTTCTCTAAAAATCTACACCTGGTATTAACACAAGCTGCTTCAATTAGAAAAGCAGTAGTTCCTAAAACTATTTTGTAAAAATACGAAAGATGATGTATTTTGACACACCTAGAATTTTTACATCCATCCATCCATCCATCCATCCATCCATCCATCCATCCATATATTTGAACGAATGACATCCATTCATAATATTTCTGAATTTCCCTTGCTTTTGTAGTTTACTTCACAGCATATTAAGGGAATTTATAATCTCAGTGTTCCCATTTTAGTATTAAAGTTAAATTAGTGGATTTAAGCACTGGATGAGCTAGCTTTGCAGGAGAAATGCTGCATGTTCACCCAGAAGTTTCATTTTGCCATCTCCACATTGAATGGACCATAAATATAAACTGAAAAACGCAAACACATTGCTGCCAAGTCGGACTGGGCTCATAGCTGACCCTCCAGTGGGTTTTTAGAGACTATAAATTGCACAGAAGGAAACTACTCATGTTTTTCTCTTAAAAAGACAAGTTTAAAACCTGTTTACAGTAACAATAATTCTTGTGCAGTAAAAGTCCTTAGAAGTAGAGGGGTAAAAGATGATTCTTGGGCCTCCTTTCCCTACCACATTCAGAAGGGAAAGGACAAAGCATAAAAACCTGCAGACACTCATCTATCAGGAATGCTAGCATGCTCATCCTCTCCATCCTGATTAAGCTGATAAAAGGAAAATCATTCAACATTCCACTCATTCTTTGCCTTTATTTCATTTTTATATGTGTTTTGAAAACATTACGATACTTCTTTGAAAATACCAAAAATGAAGACTTAGAGTTTTAGAAAGCAGCGAGTCTTTAGGACGATTTCTGGAGGGCCCACATTTCATTGTCACAGCCTGTACTTTGGGGAATGGCTATCACCAGCTGTGGTCAAGTCAGTTCTGACTCACAGGGACCCCAGGACTACAGCTGCGCCTCAGAGGACTCCCCGAAGACTGTGTGTTTAGAATTAGATTCCCACACCTTTCTTCTGACGTGTCGGTGGGTGGACTCAAATCTTCAATCTATAGGCTAGCACCTCAAGGTGTCAAACATTTCCACCAGCCAGGGATTCTAAATCCCAAATGAAATTATGTACAAGAGGAAAGGAATGGCAACAACAGCCAAAAAACAATGAGATGTAAAAGTGATGCAAATAAATTCTAATAGAAAAGAATCCACAATATTTCTGCATAATTAAGTAATCAACTCATTGCCATTGAATCAGAACCCACTCACAGCTGACCCTTCAGTGGGCTTTCAGGGGCTGTAAACTGCAAGGGAGGAGGAAGACTGTCTACCAGCCTTCTGGGGAGCGGCAGATGGATTTGAACTGCCTATCTTTTGGGTGGCAGCACAACTCTCTTACCGAGTAGGTCGTGAAAGGCTCCCTAAATAAGTAACAGGTCAATATAAGATGATATAAGACAGCAAAAGGAAGTGAAAAGATAACACAAACTTATGACTCCTCTGAGGTGATGACATGACTTGATTAAAAAAAGAAAAAAATTACAAGTCTAGAAAAAGCTATGAGTACAGGATTTTAACCCTTTGTGTGTTCTGGCTTATCTAGGATGTTATTCATTTGCAAAAAGGACTAGTATTTACAGTGTGGTAAGTGCAATTAAATATTAGGAACTGTCACGATGCAGGTGATAGGAAACTGGCTAGAGTATGTTGCTGCATGATAATAAAGAACCTGTACTCCAGAATCCTTTTTTCTTGTTTTTAAATTTTATTGATTTAATGTCAAAAGGGCTTTAAAACAGTGTCTGACACTTAAAAGGCATCCAGTTAAACATTACTGTTACTAAGGAGACCTAGTGGTAATGCTTGATGTGTTGGGCTACTAACTGAAAGGTCAGCTGTTCAAAACCACCAGCCTCCCATTGGAAGGAAAATGTACAGCCTTGGAAAAAATATGGCAAGGTGCAGGGGTCAGAACTGACGTGACAGCGGTGGCTTGGTTTAATTTTGGTTATTACTGATAGTAACTCAAACACACTGTCATCATGTCAGAAACTACCCACAGTTGACCCTCCTTGGTGTCCACGGCTGTAAACGGCACAGGAGGCGGCTGCCCATCTTTTTTCTGCAGGGCGGTTGGTGGGTGCCAAGGCACCGGAGAGACCTTTATGTTAGCAGTGCACCTCCCTAAGACATGTCCGTGAATAACCAGGGACCTGGCCTCTTAATCCAAGAACAAAACTTGGGTGGAAAATTGGATAGAAAAGTTTTGACAGAGTATCTGCTCAAAAAGTAGCAGATAGGAAATTTTTAAGAGTGGGAAGGTGGGGCTATAATGTAGTGGCCTGCCAATGAACCTGACTGACAAGAGTTTACCCATTCTACTGCTTCTAAGCTCGTGGGAAGCAAAGGAAGATGCTTTAATCCTTCTAACTAGTCTTAGATGTTTCCTCAAGGGGGTAGGGAAATATGTACTTTTAAAGGACAAAGATCTCTCCTTTCCATAGTAAGAATGAAACATTCCACATTCACATTTCAGCATATCTTATATGTACCACTGCTATCAACACTGACTGAAGAGCCAGGGAACCTGAGTTGTTGGTCCAGCTATGGGGTGATCTATTTGTGTGGTCTCGGCATCATCAATAATGGAGCTCTGGTGGCATAGTTCATACAGCACTGTCAAGCCAAAGGCTGTGCCTCTCTGGTAGTTCAAATCCACCAACTACACTGCAAAAGGTGGGCAATTCCTTCCTGCGTAATTTACAACCTTGAAAACTATGGAGCGTCAGCAATGAGTTGGTTCTAACTTGACAGCAACAATTATTGTTTTTTTTAAGCCCTGTTAGTACCAAGTGGCTTTTTTAACATAATAGCACTTGCCAATCATAGGCAGTTTCTTTCCTTGGTAATAGTGATGGGAAATTAATGTCTTTTCAACACACAATTCATCACCATCTCAAGTTACCTCTTGAATCATATATAAGCTTTGAGCATTATGACTACGGTTGTGTTGTTGTGTGCATTGCAGAGTTTCAACTGACCCATAGCTGACCTTCCTGCAGGACTTCAGAGGCAGTTAATCGCATGGAGGCGTCTGCCCATCCTTCTCCTGCGGAGCCACTGGTGGCCTTAAACCACGGGCCTTTGGGATCTACAGCTGAGCTTCTTGCCACTAAACCACCAAAGCCCTGTGATTATGTTTAGGAAACAGTTTAATTCACAACAATGCGTGTGATCATTCTATCTTTCTAAACCTTATCATTTATCTCAAAAGAAGATACTACTAGAAAATAAATCACCTGATGATAAAACCTTCTGGTTTAGTGTCAGTTTAAACGATGTGTTTATATGACTAATAAAAAAAGGATACTTATAGATGACCAAATTAGTTGAAAATATACAATGCAAACCTTGACTAGTTTAAAAAAATCATATTGCAGGAATGTTTTAGCAACAGTGTGTAATATTTTCAGTCTCAGGATAGTGAGCGTTTTGAATTATTAGGGATCCTTCAGACACAAGGGTCACTTGTTAATGCAAGAAAAAGCATCAGAAGAGGTGGGAGATGGGAAAGCTAGCTTTTGAAACCAATGTTTGAACAAATGCCACAACACTATAACCTTGAATTTAATTAATAAAATTAATCCCCGTATACTTTATTAAAACCAATAACTAATCAATTTTTATAAGAGTATTTCAAAGAGTAATACTAACTATTTTTACTTTTCCCTTCATTAACTTGTTTCTCTCAAGACGCTGTTGTACAACCTCATTTCGAAATGAAGGCTTTTCTCTGGACCCTAGGTGTGTTCTTCATGCTAATGGGCACTCAACACTGCAGAGGAGGACAGTTAAAAATGAAAAAAATATCCCAGAGGAGATACCCTCGTGCAGCAGATGGTAAAGAGGAAGTAAAGAAATGTGCGTACACATTCTTGGTACCTGAACAGAAAATTACAGGGCCCATCTGTGTCAACACCAAAGGGCAAGATGCAGGTACCATTAAAGACATGATCACCAAGATGGACCTAGAGAACCTGAAGGACGTGCTCTCCAGGCAGAAGCGGGAGATAGATGTCCTGCAGCTGGTGGTCGATGTGGACGGGAACATTGTGAATGAAGTGAAGCTGCTGAGGAAAGAGAGCCGTAACATGAACTCTCGTGTGACTCAACTCTACATGCAACTCTTACATGAGATTATCCGTAAGAGGGATAATTCCCTTGAACTGTCCCAGTTGGAGAACAAAATCCTCAACATCACCACAGAAATGTTGAAGATGGCCACAAGGTACAAGGAACTAGAGGTGAAATACGCATCCTTGACTGATCTCGTCAATAATCAGTCTGTGATGATCACTTTGTTGGAGGAACAGTGCTTGAGGCTATTTTCCCGACAAGACACCCATGTATCTCCTCCTCTTGTCCAGGTGGTGCCACAACATATTCCCAACAGCCATCAGTACACTCCTGGTCTGCTGGGAGGCAATGAGATACAGAGGGATCCAGGGTATCCCCGAGATTTAATGCCGCCACCTGATCTGGCAACTTCTCCCACCAAAAGTCCTTTCAAGGTACCACCAGTAACTTTCATCAATGAAGGTGAGTTGCCCCTTACTACTAAAAATGCAAGCATTAGGTTGACAGACTTTGTTATTTATAAGAATACTTTTTCAATTGTAACTACACCTTCTCTCCTAGCCCAGAGCCTCTCAATCAAAGCAAACCAAAACCAAAGACATTGTTACTGAGTAGATTCCAACTCACAGAAACATTCTAGGACAGAGTAGAAACACCTGTAGGGATTTCAAGGCTATTCCATCTTTATGGAAACAGACCATCTTTCTCCTGAAGGGCACTGGTGAGTTCCAGCGGCCCACTTTCTGGTTCGCAGCTGAGTGCCTAACTTCTGTGATAACAGGTTCCTACGGAGTCACTATGAGTTGGAATCCTCTTGAAGGCAGTGCATTTTGAGGCTCTCATCTTGTTATGAGATGTCAAGTCAGAACCAACTCATGGCTAATCTTCCAGCAGGTTTTCAGAGGCTGCAAACCACACAGGAGGAGAATGCCCAACTTTCTCCCAAGGTGGCAGCTGGTGCATTCAAACCACCTGCTGGCAGGTTGGCAGTTCAACTTCTTACTCATTAGGCCTCCAGAGTTCCCTTTCTGAGGCTCTTGTAGTTTATAAGTTCTTCTGAGGAAAAAAGCAGTCTCCTTTCCAAATTAAACTAAATGACTATCTCTGAGATAGGAGTGAGGCCCTGACCCACTCGTAACCCATGAGCACAGCCCTTTACCCATTCTGTCCTCAGAGGTCCTCACTGGCTGCTCAGTAAACTTTTAATTTATAGTCATCCTCCTCACAAAAAGAACTCAAAATTGTTTTCATTCTCCATCAGCCTCTAATGACACTTACTGCAGGGATTTTAAAACCTGAGGTTACTTGATGCTTCCTATCTGTAAAGCTTCTGCACTATCCTGATGCCTTCCTCTTCTCAGCCTTGGAAAGAAAGTCATTCCCTCCTTTTTATCAAGGCTAAAGAAACTACGATTTATATCTCACCCCCAAATCAGTCAGTCTTTACTATGATAAAAAACAAAGCAAAATACTCTTTTGATCCCAAGACACCTACCTCTACTTTCGTTCTTTTCTCTCTTCATTTATTCACTATCAGGAATTGATCCAGGAATTCACAATATCAAGGTAACTGTTTCTTTCAGTAAGTTCACTGCTACCTTTTTAAAATCAGTATTTTATAATTGCTGTGCTGATTTTCCCCATAAACCATTCTCCTGGAGCCTTTAAAAGCTGATTTGCTTCCTTATAAAACTTCCTGGTGTCAAGTCGGTTCTCATTCATACTGATGCTGGTGACTGCCCATCTTTCTCCCTAGAAGTGGCTGCTGGACACAACTGCTGACATTGTCAGCAGCCAGACAATTTATACGCTATGCCACCAGAGCTTCTTAAGAGTGGAGGGAAAGGACTCAAATGCCCAAAAGTTTGTGGTTTTGTTGGGAGTTTTTAAAAAATATAAAGATATTCAGACATAGTTCATTCACTAGTGAATGTGCAGGACTTGAAACTTTACATGAATTATGACGTAACTTTAAACAAGAATCACTACCAACAAAAACAAAGTCCAGAAACAAATCCATCAAGTAGGTATATCTCTCTACAGCAGTAGACACTACTAACTACTCAGATATATCTCTGCTTTCCTGGGCTTTTGCATTATACTCTTTCGATTCTTTTTACTTCTCTATGTCTTTCCTTCTATGTCTTAATTAGAGTCCTTGGGTGGAGTAAATGGTTAAAAGCCTGGCTACGAATTGAATGGCTGGTGGTTTGAATCCACTCCAAAACAATTAGAAGACCTGGTAATCTCCCTCCCAACCCCCTGGCATTTAATGTTTTATATTCTATCTGTTTCAAAGAATATCTACCATATATTCTTCTTTTTATGTTTTAAATACTAGTTAATTTACAAAATTCAAATCTTCTGAATGCTTAGACACACTCAAAACTGCACGGGTCACAGTTCCACTCTGACACAAACGGGTCATCTTAAGCTAGAACTGTCTTGATAAGCAACTGGTTTGGACTTTTCTTTTTGTTAGTTTATGCTTTAAGAAGGCTTTCTTAAGTTATTCTGCTTTGAGGTCTTGCTCACCTTCCCCAAGGCTCCAGGTATAGAGTTCTCCCTACTGAGACCACCTTTGCATTTGGATATGCTAACACTATGTCATATGTTGCTGCTGCTTCTACCTTCCCCCTACCCCCTGCCTGTAAATTTAGCACATTCCAAGGCTTTCCTCAAATGCTGCTGCTCTTGAGACAGAACTGACTCACAGCTGACCCTACCATGGGTTTTCAGAGGCTGTATAGTATAGGAGGATGCTGCCCCACCTTTCTCTGGTAAAGCAGCGGTGGATTCAAACCATTGTTTCTTGAACTGGCAGCACAACTCCTTACCACTAGGCCACGAGACTTTAATGTGGTATCTCTTCAGATTAAAACAAATACATAGTCTTTTCCGCAAACTTCTGGTCATACTTTGAACATGTTGCCCATGTCCTATTATAATGACACTCCTTGTTTGCTTGAATAAATGCTTCTGAAGGACAGCCACTTTTCCATTTGCCCCATCCCAAGCATCTCACCGGGGCCACTGTGCCAGTGTGTGACACCACAAGAAATGAACTAGTAACTCAATTCTAAAACAAACTTTCCCCAAAACGTCTATTTTTCTTTTTCTAATTATTTTAAAATACATATTTATCAAAACAAATGTAGACGATACAAATAAACATTTTTAAAAGCTGCACTCAATATTCAATCACTCAGAAATAAACAGTTAATATTTTGTGATAACCTTAAAAGTTGTTCATTCCTGTCTTTCCCCCTTCAAAATTCTTATAAATATGGTAATCGACATTCTTGTAACTCTCTAAATTCACCTATGACTATATCCATATAGCAAATAAAATAAATCAAAGCATTAATATACCCTTTTGCTATCTCTATTTTGATGTAAGCTACTATCCACATCAGAATTAGGTGGGCTGATCTTTGATATTTCCCCTGTGCCCCACACTCCAAACCCAAAGCCATCGAGTCTGATTCATAGCAGGCCTCCCCATGAGGGTTTGGAGGCTAGAATCTTCACAAGTGGAGAGGGTCTAGCAGGTGGGTAGCAGTGAAACATGTTACTATGTTGTTTTGTGTCATCGAGTGGGAAGTAACACATAGGTGACCCTCCAGCAGGTTTTCAGAGGCAATAAATTTCAAAGGAGGACACTGTCCATAATTCTCTCTAGAGCCAACAGTTGGATTCAAACTGTGTGCCTTTGAATTGACAGGGAAGCTCCTTATTAAGCCACCAAAACTCCCTAAACTTATCAGTTCCATTTATATTCTTTTCAGCCTCTCGTGTGCATATGTATGCATTTTAATTTGGAGCCAGGCCTCTAACTCAGATGCAAATTATCTATGACAGTAGCTGGAGGATAAGCTTCCTGGACAGGGGAGGGGATTGAAAAAACACTTGAGTCTCAGTTCCTTCAACTGTAAAGTGAGGATAAAAATAGTCTTTATTTCAAGAGTTTAAGACTCAAAAAGTACTTAGAATAGTGCCTGCCACATGGTCAGTATTCACATGTTAGCTCTTACTAAAAAAAAATTAAAAAATCACCTAACAGCCTGCCAACTGGTCTAATTCCAACTTCTCTCTCCATCAAATTGGATGGCCACAGATTCATCTTCTTAAATTACCATTTTGATCACATCACACTTCTGCTCAGCAGTTCCACATTGTGAACTGAACAAGTCCAAACTACTTTGACTATGTAATGAATAATGTGCCCTTCAGAAGAGTCAAGCCACTTCTTGAGCTTTTCTTTCACTAATCTGCTTCACAAAAAACATCTGCTCTAATAAAACGAATTCACTCCTTGTCTCCTAAATATTTCCCACATCTTCTGCTTATCCAACAACAAAGCTTAGACAAAATGCAGCTCGCCTCTCCTCACCGAGACACCCTCAGGCCAGACACCCTGCTCCTCTCACCAACACCTCCGTGCTCTTTAATATGGGTACAACAGCCCTTATTTCTTGAAAAATCAATTCTCTTTACACATACATAAAGCATTTACACACACAACTGAATAAGAGGCCCTCCAACAGGATTATAAACTCCCAGGGATTGTATCTTACATGCAGGTGCTGAATAAGTATTAATCTGAGGATCCATTTTTATAGCTTTTTCAAGCTGTCATTCCAATGACCTTCATAAAAACACTTTAAGACAATATATAGTTTCAGAACAATGCTACTTACTGTTCTAACACTCAGAAGTAACAAGTTGTTGTTTTTTTGTGCTGCTGAGTCGGCTACTGCTCCTAGAGACCCTGTGAACAAAGGCTCCAAATCCTGCCCTATTGAGCCAACCTCACCGTTTCTGACACATCTGACAGCATTGCCACAGTCACTGTATCAATCCATCTCATCCAAGGTCTTCCTCTCCTGCGCTGTCCCTCCATCCTTCCAAGCATGATGAGCTTCTTCAAGAACTAGTCCCTCCTGACAACATGGCCCAAGTAAATGAGACTGAGTTTCAAAATCATTGCCTTTAAGCAGCAGCTTGGTTTCTTGGTTTCACTCTCTCCAGAAAAGACTTTTGTTCTGTTGGCAGTCGATGGTAATGTTCAATACTCTTCTCCAGCACCACAATTCAAAGGCACTGATGATTGTTCTGTCATCCTTAGTCACTACTCTCAGATGCATAGCAGGTAACTGAAAAGACCACAGCCTGGAAAAGGTGCACCTTTGTCTCGAGACTGACACTGTTGCTCTTTAGCACTCTGGAGAGGTCTCTGACAGTGTATATTCCCAAGGCAATTTGTCTTTTGATTTCCTGACTACTGCTCCACAAGAGAAGGATAAGCAATCTCTTCCCATGCAATTTACTGTCCCTGAATATCCACTGGAGGGTCAGCTATGGGTCAGCTTCAACTCCATGGCAAACAACCAAAACAACTCAATCAGTCTCATTTTGTAGAAGTTATTTCTCAGATCATTCTCTCTCACTGGTGTTAAGTCAGAACCGCCTCAGAAAGCCCGTAAATCACATGGGGAAGATAAATGCCCATCTTTCTCTTGTGAAGCAGCTAGTGGGTCTGAACAGACGGCCTCTGGGTTGGCTGCAAAACTGCTTACTATTAAGCCACCAGAGCTCTCTTTATGGTCATTAGTTTATAAATATATCAATTATCACGGCTTCTAAAATTGATAATACTAAATACCTAGCTAAGACTTGGAATCTGGATAAAATATTCCACAGTGACCATCTCCATACTTTTAATTCCATACCACATTAGCTTTAAAGAAAATTCACACACCTTATTTTTAAGTTATGCACACAGACTGCTGTACGAACAAATTATATACATCAAAAGAATATATAAAAATGAAAAAAAATTATACAAGTTGTAAGAGTTAATTTTTTCTTTCTATAACCACTGGATCTATGGTAACTGCAGTCAAGAAACAAAAAAGATGTACTGCACTAAACAAGCCAGCTGCCAAGGATCCCTTTAAAATGTTCAAGAGTTGTTGTTTATATGCCATCAAGTCCACTATGACTCTAATAACCCTATGAACAATGGCTCTGAACCTCGCCCTATTCTGAAGCAACCTGGCTCTGACACGTCTGACGCCACAGTCACTGTGTCAATCCATCTCATCCAGGGTCTTCCTCTCCTGTGTTGACCCTCTACTCTTCCAAGCATGGTGTCCTTCTCCAAGGACCAGTCCCTCCTGGTAACATGCCCAAAGTTTCAAAATCCTTTCTGCCAAGGAGCAATCTAGTTTCACTTTTCCCAGGACAGATTTATTCTTTTGGCAGATCATGGTATGTTTTCAGTACCACAATTCAAAGGTATTGATTCTTCTGTCATCCTTGGTCACTCTCCCTATTCAGATGCACAGCAAACAACTGAGAAAACCATGGCCTGGGTCAGGCACACCTTAGTCTCTTTTATCGTTTATAAGATAAAAGAAGACACAGGCCATCCCACCCCCCCACCCTTGGGGAACTCCTTTTATATTGGATCAGGGCTCTGAGCTGCGTAAAGGTGCTGTGTTCTACTGTCATCTTCTACAAACATTTGGCTGATCACACCATGGAGGAAGATTACATCAGTACCTAACTGCCAAATTGCTGAGAATCATGACCCAGCTAAGCTATTCTATCCAAACCTCATGCCTAACATTAACTCAAAATAGGTGGTACAAATCCGCCAGCTACTCTGCCAGAGAAGGACGGGCAATCACCTCCTGAGAGATTTACAGCCTCTGCAAACCAGCTGGAGGGTCAGCTGTAAGTTGGTACAGACTCAATAGCACACAATGACAACGTACAAAACTTCATGGAAGATGACGATTATTCAGTTTAAGAAAAGGTTAATGAAATCCCTATTTTAAAAGAAAAAATATTTCATAATGGTCCTTTTAGTCATCGTGGAAAAATTCCTGAGTCAACTGTTATTCCCCCCACCCCCCCATAATATGCAAAGTAATCTGCTAACATGAGATCCTTAGAAATGCAGCACTTTTGCTGGCTTGAATTCACCATGGCTCCACAGAAGAAAGATGGCAGGTCTCCTGTGTGATTGACAGCCTCCTGAAAACCCACTAAAGGGTCAACCGAGTCAGTTATGACTTGACAGCAGAATCTGTCAAGGTCTGGGGTTTTTCTGTTATTAAGCAATATTTTTTATGGTATAGAGAAGACACTTAAGTATGAATGATTAATATTCTAATTCTCGATGAGAAAAAGATATACAAGGAATAGTGAATATCTCTGCCAAAACCAACAGTTTACAGTAGGCTAAGAAAGGTTAAAAGAATTTTTTTTTAAAATAAGTCTAAGTAATATTAAATTTTAATATTTACTATTATCTTTACTGAGAAGAAGAAAGTAGATAAAAGTACTGCTCATGTTATCCATATGTTCTGGGAAGGGATTTCAAGGAAGTTTTCCTAAGAATTTCTATCAACTATTTAGCAGGCATCCAACTTGCAAACATGGAACTCACTATAAAATGAATTGAACACAATCTTAAATTTCCATAAACTTAAGACTTAACAAATAAAAGCTGGATTCAGAAAATCTATAATCCTCCAATTTGCTTAACCATCTGAGTGCCTGTTAAACCACTGCCTTCACCTGGATTCTGGTACATAACTTGATCAGATATAGTGACCTGCCTAGAAGATGCTTCATGTCTGTCAATTGTTACAGAAGTAGACTCTCACACATCCTTCTCCCTTAGAGGGATTGGTGGGTTCAAACTGCTAACCTTTTGGTTAGTAGCCTAATATTTAAGTATTCAGGCCATGAGGGCTCCCTGAGAGTGTAATAAATAGCAAAAAAAGGAGTCAAGCTCTATGAAATAAATGGTATTCTGCAAAAATCTACCAAATTCTATAACTTTAGCATTCTGAATATTTTATAGTCACTCAAATAATGTAATAAAAGCTCAAGTATATTCTAATATGAATAACCAAGCGCTCCTTTGTCTCCATACTCTGCATTATGCTTCCTGTGTGGCCCTGACCGAACTCCTTACACCCTCACTGACCTACCGCTTTCTCAAGCATTAAAACTCAGCACGGATGCCTGCTTCTTCCCTGTACTCCTTGGTTAGTTCTAGTGGTCTCACATGTCTTGCTCCATCAGAGCACTTGTAACAATACAGTGAATAACTGCTTCACCAGCCTCTTTCCCCATCTCCTGCGTGACTCAAAGACTATTTCTCTGTTCTCTGAATTGAATAGCATTTTTATTCTATTAAGATATGCAGATATTTTTTTAAAGAATAATGAAGAAATTCTGGAAACCACTGTGACTATCAAGAACCATTTAGTTCAACAAGTATCTTGAGTGCTTAAGTGGACTCAAACTGTGAACACAACAATGAAAAAAAACAATCCTTGCCACTAGGGAGTCCCACAAATAAACAAATGAACATGTTACTACGCATAACACAAAATAATCTAATATGGACTAGATTAAGTGGAGTCGCAGTCTACTTTTATTTCCATTTCACTCCCACAAGGGAAATGACATTCCTTCCTTGACTTGGCTGCAATGTAGCTTTCCATACAGTTAAGATGTTCATATGGAATTGATTTTTTTTAAAAAATGGTATCAGTAAAAGAAAGAAGCTAAACATATGGGACTTTCCCAAATTTTGTGCCACAAGTAACTAACTAGCTAAAATAAGCTGTTATTTTCAAGGCATAATATTATAGAACATTCTATTATTCCATGACAATACTACCTAACTAGCATAGAAAAAGGATGTACATTTTTTTTTATAAGCCACATAAATTTTATTAACAAAAATATATTCCCTGGGAACTAGTATGTGTTAAGGTCAGTAATAAAAGAATTAACAGTTACGGGTGATGCTTACTGACTTTAAAAAAAATATGTGCCAAGGGCTCAAAATATTTAAATTAAAAAATTAAAATGGTAAATGATTTAAAAATGGTAAACCGGTGATTTTAATGGCGGTGGTTGTTGATGGGTGCTGCTGTGTGAGCTCCGACTCACAGGGACTACACCTCGCCTGATCTCACAATCTCTGCTGCAGTCCTCACAATCTCTGCTGCTGTGTGTATACCCTTGTTCTAGTCACATCAGGTTGAGGAGGGACATCATTTTTTCACAGACCTTCTACTTTCCTAAACGTGATGTTTTTAGATAGGCACTGGCCCCTCCTGATGCCCAAGGTATGTGACACCCAGTCTCAACCTCTTTGTTCATGAGGAGCTCTCTGGAGGAACTTACTTCAGCACTGATTTTTTTTGTTCTTCTGGCTCTCTGTGGTATATTTAACATTCTTCACCAACACAATTTGAATGCATCAGCTTTTTAACTTGTGGCCAGGTTGAAAAACTCAAAATATCATTTTTATAACAGTCCTGTTCAATCTCAAAACCTATCTAGGGAACTTGGCAGACTCATCAATAACTTTAAAAACAAAGGAAACAAATTCGTAACAAAATTTCAGCACTGAACTCAATGATATGCAAAATATGCTAATCCACTATAGCTCAATCAAGTTAATCCAGGAATGCAAGTTTAGGTTACCATCCAAAATAGGAGAGGAGGAGAACTAATGCCCTCGAGCTGTCGTGTTGGAGAAGAGTACTAAATAAACTGTGGACTGCCAGGAGAACAAACGGATTCGACCTAGAGAGGTTGAAACTAGGCTGCTCCTTGGAGGCAAGGATTCTGACACTTTGACATACTTTGGGCATGTTACAAGCAGAGACCAATCCTTAGATAAAGACATCATGGTTGGAAGGGTAGAGAGACAGAGTAAGAGAGGAAGAATCTCGATGAGATGGTTTGACTCAGTGATTGGGGTAAATGAGGGTAAGTTTGTCAGAGATAGTAAAGTTGGCACAGGACAGAGCGGGTTTCAGGGTTACTGTACATCGGGTCACTATGAGTCACAAGCGACTCATGGCACACAAGAATAACAACAACAAGTGCTATTTGCATAAAGTAGTAGAAATAGTAGAAAAAGAATCATTACTATATTTACTTAAACATAGGTACTATAAGTAGTCACAAAGGAAACTAAAGCCTGATACAATTAAAAAAATCCAACTTTCTATGTGTACGTATATGAACAAGGCCTAATAAGACATGAGTAATCACTACTATTATTTTTAGTTTACCAAACTTTTCTAAAAGGTTGCTGAATACAGTGACTAAAGATTGGTAATGATAAAGAAATACTACACAAAGAATCATGATAAAACTGCAGCTCTTTCATATTACTTTTCTCAGTAATCAATGCTATTTTAAACTACAGGACCATTCAAAGACTGTCAACATGCAAAAGATGCTGGGCATTCAGTAAGTGGGATTTATATGATTAAACCGGAGAGGAGCAGTGGACCAGTGCAGTTATGGTGTGAGAACAATTTGGATCCGGGGGGTTGGACTGTTATTCAGAAAAGAACAGACGGCTCTGTCAACTTCTTCAGAAACTGGGAAAACTATAAGGTAAAACAATCGCTCCAATTTGGGGGTAATCAAGCAAATGGTTTTTGCAAAGTGGTAATTCTATACAATAAACAAGACATTGTTAAAGATGACAATGTAGTTTTAATTATTTATATTTATAAAATTAATATATTTGGCTATCTATAAAGGCAAAATTAACATGTAAAAAGGAAAATGTAAGATATACTTTACAGTGACACTTTGCAGAGATTACTTTTAATTCCATTTTCTAAGGAAAGAGATTTCTTTGTTATCTATGTATTTGATGGCAGTTATCCTCAGTGTATTTAAGTAGTAACATAAAATACAGGTCTTTGAGAAAATTACCCAGACATTGGTGACCTTGGAAAAATCATTTACACCTATGCTTTCATGTAGCACTAGAATCATACAACACCTATTTTGGAAAGGTAAAGAACTGGTCTTTGCTATGAATTTTAATGTTCACCATGTGCACTTTATGAGCAGAAAATACTGTCACAATTTAAGGATGGCAAATGCAGAAAATTAAAGATTCTTAAAACTTTCACACTAGAAATCAAATTGATTAAAAATGTATTTTAGCTAAGGTTTCTAGTTTAATAAGAAAATGGTTTCCTTTTACTTTATTTATATTTTCTGGATGATCAGTTCTCCAAATAAAATGGTAAAGTACTATACAATTACTCATTTATAGGAGAAATCTTATTAGAGCTATAAACTGGGAAATGTATAAACTCATCCAAATTGTATCAATTTCTGAATATACACAAATTAGAAGGGGGACGTTCAACATAGTCTCCTTGAAGATACATCTAAAGTATTAAAATTACATTTATCACATCTTATTCTTTGCTTTCTACCTGCAAATATACTTAGTATGAGTCAATTTATTTGCTAAGACAAAATAACTTGTGCTTATTTTTTAAATAACACATTTCAAAATTTTCAGGGGGGAAACTTTGCTGATACTACTTTTTCTTTATTCTTTGACTTCTTATACAGGTAAAGAAGATAAACTGTCTTAAATGAGATATTAGTACTATATACATTTTATCTCTGGATAGTCTTTTTTGTTCAGCTATGATGTGGATAGTATCCAGATCCAGGTACTTTAATGAAGGGGGGGAAAAATAGCGCTGGATATGAGAGAGACCAGAAATCTTTTTAAGTTGGGGTTCAGTGACCAATGCTTTTAGTGGAAAACAAATTTCATTCTCTTTTGCTTTTGTCCTATTGTTAAGTTTTAAGGATAATCTAAGCAAATTCTATTAATTAAAGTAAAACAAAGCAAGGTTACTATGTATGACTTATAATGACCATGTGACCAACTAGTAAAGCAGCTTACATCACTGCTTAAATGATCAATATCTGAATGCTATCTCATGCTTAAAACATATATAAAAATGCTTAATTTCTATATTCATTTTTATGTTCATGATCACTGTTAACAGAAAGGGTTTGGAAATATTGATGGAGAATACTGGCTTGGACTGGAAAATATCTACATGCTTAGTAATCAAGATAATTACAAGTTGCTGATTGAATTAGAAGACTGGAGTGATAAAAAAGTCTATGCAGAATATAGCAGCTTTCGTCTGGAACCTGAAAGTGAATTCTACAGACTCCGTCTGGGAACGTACCAGGGAAATGCAGGGGATTCTTTGATGTGGCATAACGGCAAACAATTCACAACACTGGACAGAGATAAAGACATGTATGCGGGTGAGTAAGAAAAACTAACTGCTAACAGTGTTGTTTTTATAGCTGTGAAAAAAATCTTGAGCTGTAAGGCTTACACTCTTGTGAAAAGGAGAGATAATGATATAAGTGGTGATCTGTATTCCAGGAAAAGATAAAACCACATGGGGGAAAACAACAGGATGTGCATCGGGGTGTGAGTTAAGTGCTATATTAGGGGAGGCCAGGAAAGGAGATCTGGAAAAGAAACACAAATATAGACTTGAAGCCATGCCATTAGATACATGGGATAATGAGGAAGCAGCATTTCTGAGCAAGTTCTTACATATCTCTCCAGTCTCTCTCTGCCTTTCACACATATATTGTTTACATTTTATTTACCCTAAAATGAAATCCACTTAAAAAAAAAAAAACCACCAATACACAGAAATAAGTATGAACAAAGGAAAGCGAAAAAGGCAAGAGATTTTTCAAGCAGCTAATAGTTAAGCAACAGCAACAGAGGACATGAAGAAACAAAATTTGGAAGAAAAATTAAAATTAAATGTTTTTTCAAAGGTAGGATACATTTTCTGTAGTTTGTTGTCCTGTGGTTGTATTTAGGATACACTTTCATTTTGCCATTTGTACTTTTTTCCCCCCTGAAGGAAACTGTGCCCACTTTCATAAAGGAGGTTGGTGGTACAACGCCTGCGCTCACTCCAACCTAAATGGAGTGTGGTACAGAGGTGGCCATTACCGCAGCAAGCACCAAGACGGCATCTTCTGGGCTGAATACAGAGGCGGGTCCTACTCCTTGAGAGCAGTTCGGATGATGATCAAGCCAATTGACTGAGAAAGAACAGTCTCCAATTTAAGATGACACAGAACTTTCTATTTTCTGGTTCTTAAAAATGTCAGTATTACATGTGTATTATTTCACACAATTTTTACTTCTGCAGATAAAGGGTTTTTTGAAATGAATTTTACTATAACATAAAAGGAAATCTATGAAATGCTGCTTCATTTCCCCCCTCAATGCACTGCACAAGTCATTTGTGTCCATGCCCTAGGTATTCTAAAAATGATATTGACTAAATTCTGGCAGAGTTTGTCTCTAAAATGTAAATATTTGATGCAATGTAAAACAAATATTAACTTTATTTTAAATCAAAATTGAACACATGTTCTGAATACCTAATAGTTTATTTAAAAACTTTTAAGACTGCTTGAACTTCCAAAGGGAAGATATTTTTTTAAAATTTCAACCACGCAGCACATTTTATTTATAAAATTACAGACAAGAAATTAGAGAGAAAACTCTAGTTTTGCCAAGAAAAAAATACACTTTGCATTGAATAAAAATTGTTTCAAGTTTAATTTGTGCCTTTCATTTTAAATTTTATTTCTGGGTAATCTATCCTACCCTGATATTTTTAAGTAGTTAAGTGACCTACTGCATAAAATATACCATTTTTTTTTAAAAATCAGAAAATGCACAAATAATGCAAGCATTTTTAATAAAAAAAGACTAACCACTTGCTCAAGATGATCTTTAAGTAATGTGAAGTCTAGAAAATACCGCTATTGTTAAGGTTCAGAGTATTGAGGAGGGAGCTGTAGTGGTGTGGTCCACAGGGAGCTGCACTGCTAACCCAAACTCTGGGCTTCTCTGGGTGTTCCAAAAAACCACCAGCAGCTCCACAGAAAAAAGATGGGTCATCTCCTCCCAGGATTGAGTTATAGCCTCGGAAACCCTATGGAGGAGGCTCAGCTATGAGTTATTTAATTCCAAGATTACTACTATTGTTGTTATGTGCCATCGAGCTGCCTGTGACTCAATAGAAACCCTATGTACAACAGCCCTAAACCCTGATCTATTCTGTGCCAATCTTTTTTTTTTTGTAACTGCATATTTTTTTTAATGTGATTTAAGTGAATGTTTACAGAGCTCACTGTTCTTGGGGTATATTCCAAGCAATGGAATAGCTGGTCATATTCCTGTGCCAATCTTATCATCTCTGACACACCTACCCCCATTACTCCAGTCGATAAATCAATCCATCTCATCAAGGGTCTTCCTCTCTTGAGCTCTCCCTTCACCCTCCCAAGCATAACATCCCTCTCCAAGGACCAGTCCTGTCTTGCAACATGTCCAAAGTATGTCAGATCAAACTTTAGAATTCTTGTCTCCAAGGAACAGCCTGGTCTCACCCTCACTAGGATGAACCTGTCCTCCTAGCAGTCCATGATATACTCAAATATTCTCTTCCAGCACCACTGATCAAAGACATCAATTCTCCTTCTATCATCCCTAGTCATTGCCCAGCTTTCTGATGCATAGCAAGTAACTGCAAAGACTATGGCCTGGATCGGGTGCACCTTAGTCTCCAGACCAACATCATTGCTCTTCAGTACTTTGGGGAAGTCTTTGACAGCAAACTTTCCCAATGCAATTTGTCTTTTAATTTGCTAACTGCTGGTATCAAGAGTACTGATTGTGGAGCCAAGCAAACTAAAGCTGTGAACAATCTCAATTTCTTCACCATCCATCATTATGCTGCCAATCGACCCAGTGGTGATAATCTTTGTTTTCTTGATGTTGAGCTCATCTATTTTAAAAGCCAAAACAGACAATACCCACTGCTACTAAGCTGACTTCACCTCACAGTGAAATCTGCAGTATAGAGCACAACTGGCCCACAGAGACCCCTGGGCTAAAACCCTACTGGAGCGGATCTCCAAGCTTCTCCTCTCTTGAGTGGCTTTTGGGTCTAAAACGCCAACTCAGTCAGCAACTGAATACTTAATCACTATGCCTCCAGGGCTCCTTAGGAGATGCACTGTCAACCCAATGGCACATGGTTCAAATTCACCAGCTGCAGGGGGGAAAAGATGGGCAATCTCCCATGTGATTGACGGCCTCTGAAAATCTGGAGAATCATATGGCTTGGTTCTGACTTGAAGGTAAATAAGAAGGAGCAAGATAATAATGAGTCCATTTTATAGTTCCAGGACATTTAAAAAAAGAAAAGATAGTCACCAAGAAATAGGTCAATTTTCAAGTTTTTATCAATAAAATAAATGCTACAGATTAATTATTGCTACAGATAGTTAATGACAAGTCTGAAGAGAATGATCACTTTTAATCTAAATACAGATTCCCAAACTACTGATAAAACTTTTAATGCTCTTTATGAGCTATGAATATAGATATAACATGTCATTTAATCTTGTTGGCCTCGCTTTCTTCACTCATAAAATATAAACAGTAATATTTACCTTCTAAAATTATGGTTAAGTAATAATTTATAACTATCCTCTTTATTTAGTGTTCATAGGGTTTTCAAAAGCCATGTCTTTATGAGCAGATGGCCCACCCTCCTTCCTATTCTGTCTTGATTAGGGAGCTGCAACAAAATCAGTCCAAGATGGGAAACCCTTCTGGAGTTTGACACACCAGTGGCAAAGATTTCAGTAGCACAGCAACCCCAAGTAATCTCATTTGGGCAAAATGACAGACAAGTGCTGCACCACTTAGAACAACATTCTCTCCAAACATAATCAAAACCAGTCAACTTTTAAACTTTGAAATACAAAGGCCTGCCCTCCAGATCCTGTCTGCCTACACAAGAGGCTTCCCACCCAAGCTGATTGTAAATGAGATTAGACACAGTTAATCAGCTTATGTTTGAATGATAATAAAATTCTAAAAGCCCAAACAGTTTACCCCCAGCTTTCAAGTAAATCACAAACACCCACAGGTTCCACCTATGCCAAGCTAAAGGCTCACTCACAAGTAGGACCAGTCTGACTTTTAAATACAAAGGTGTACCCAACAGATGCTGTTTGCCTACCCAAGAGGCTTCCCACCCAATCTGATTGTAAAGGAACTCAGATACAGTTAATTAGCTTACATTTGATTGCTAAAACAATTTCGAAATGCCCGAACAGTTTACTCTCAGCTTTGAAGTAAATCACAAACACCAGAATCCAACTATACCAAGCTATTTGTGGTTTATTGACTATGCAAAGGCCTTTGGCTGTATGAATCATGACAAGTTGTGGTTGACATGGAGAAGAATAAGAATAAAAGAGCACCTGGAGGTGCTAAGACGCATCCGATTCACCACAGTCTTTCCAATTACTAGCTATGCATCTGAGACCAAGGCAAGACATAAGGATGAGAGAAAAAGAATTGATACCTTTGAGCTGTGGTGTTGAGAAGTGCACTGAACATCCCATGGGTGGTCAAGAGAATAAACAGGTATGTCGTGGAGAGGGTGTAGCTGGAGTGCTCTTGGACATGTTGCTAGAAGGTACTATTCTTTGGAGAGGGACATGATGTTGGGAAGGGTGAAGGTTTGACAAAGGAGAGGAAGATCCTCAACCAGGTGGACTGAAAGTGACTGCTACAAATGAGCTCTTGTGTGTAAGGAAGTGAGAACGCTGCGCAGGACAGGACTGGGTTCAGATATTTTGTTCATAGGGTCGCTAGGAGTTGTACTTGACAGAACCTAACAACAATAATTTATAAAGAGCATTGTTTGGGAACTCACAATTAAGAACTACTAAGTTCATTATCAAAATTATAATTATTGCTCTCCTGTTAAAATTTGCTTAAAACAAAAACTAGAAAGCCATTAACAACATAACTGTCAACTTTTAGAAACAATACCAACAAAGCTATTGGAACTGAGGGAAACCTCAATTTATGATTAAGATGTGGATATGTATAACTGCTTCTCTCCCTCGCCTTAAAAATATTAAGTAAGTTCTTAAGGGGGGGGAACCCCCACCAACATATGAAAAGGGTCATGAAATGAATGCAACCCTAGTCTCCAGCCCTGGGAGTGTTTGAAGAGTCTTTAGAAACTTTAGAAAGTATACCATTAAAGGATTTTAGAGGAATTTAAAACACATTTTTTAAAATGAGTAAAAATGAAATATAAATGAGGTAATGGAAAAAGGGAACCCAATTTTGGCTAAAGAAAAGGCTAGGGCTGGCTGCCATTTGGTCAGAGCTCCTTTCTTAGGATCCAACAGAAAATGACTAAACATACCTTACTGATGTTTTAGAACACAATATATAACCTAATCAGCAATAAAGTAGTGCATGTATATAGTAACTAAAAGGAAAATGGAATAAAAGTAGCTCTTCAAGTATTAAAAAATCAAACACATTTTTGGACCATTCGGTAGTTTAAGATTAGTGTTACAGGCTTCAGGTCAAGTTCTATTAATAGAGAAGAAAAATATCCCATGAAAATTCAGAACGCCTAGGGCTTTCTTAAAATTATCTCGATAGAAATTTGAGTAAAAAGTTGTTAATTTAAAAATTTTGTACTCGGGTTAAATCTAAAAAACTAAGGCAACTGTGTTCTACTGTGAAATCAGTATTCAATAGTTCAATATAGCTGACAAAAAGGATCAGATAAGACTTTGAAGATTATATGTTTAGGTTTGCTTTTAAAATCCCATCAACATAGATGAGAATACCAGTGATAATGTAAGACACAAGATAATGGCAACAACTCTTTCACAACACTAGTTTAGGAGAGATTATGTGTGAACCTCCCTTAGGAATGTTGGTGGTGTGGCGGTTAAGCATTTGGCAGGTACTTGACAGGTTTGTGGGGTCAACCAATCAGAGCGCTTCAAGGAAGAAAGAGGCAGTCTGTTTTTGCAAAGACTATGGGGCAGCTCTACTCTGTCCAACAGCATCACTATGTGTCAGGGTCAACTTGACAGTAAAGAGTATATGGTTTCTCCGTGTGTGTGCGCGCGCGCAGGTGGGCACACACATGTGGGGGATTAATAATATAAACCTCAACATTTGGTATTAGAGGTAAGTTTCACAAAAAAACATGAAAAGATGGTATAAAGTCTGTTTTATTCTATGTTATACATTTTGGAGCAAACATACAAAACTTCACTGTCATCAAGTTGCAACCAACTCATAGCTGGCCATCAGTGGGTCTTCTGAGGCTATAAATCACATGGGAGAGGACTGCCAATCTTTCTTGTGAGGAGGAGAAAGGTCTTTGTGTTGACAGCACCCTTGGGGTGTGCCACCAGAGCTTTCAGCATCAAGCATAGTGCTTGGTAAATGCTGGTTAGCTAGATAGCTAATGTACCAAAAGAAAATGGGAAGCCAGTAGAAAGGCTATGCAAATACATTTACGGTATTTAAACAGAAAATGAAAACAATGTCACTAGGTATTAAGCAATTTATATATCTTACTGGAACAATGGAAGAGCCAGAAAAAGATAACTGCCTTAAATCAACAACTTTTTACAATGTGCTTTATGGGATTCTAGAGACTAAGAATAAAGCTTTAATCCAGACAAATAAGGGTGTGAACTACAGAGACAGA